GCCTTCACCAAGGGAGCACCGAAGGAGTTAATCCTCAACCCTGATGGTGACTTTTTTTCGGCTTTTGGAGGATACCATCAGCTTTAGGCCTTCTGTCTCTCTCAAATATGATGGGAATTGGCTAACGAGGCAGGTAACAGGCTGAGGTCTGGCGGAGTCAGGGTGGGATGGTGCAATCTTCATCCCCCTTGGGAATGGCAGCCAGACGGGACCATTCCTCCCGCCTGGCTGGAACAGAGGGCTGATGGCTCCTGGGGACAAGCTGCTGTGCCCTGGGTCTGTCACCGGCTTCCCATGGTGTGACAAGGACCCAAAGACCGCAGGAACCGCATCCCCAGCTGAGCTGGCAGCCACAGTGATAGCTGGCCGGGGACATGGCTGCCTCAAAGCTCTGGCAAACCCTGTCACCTCTGCTCGGTGGGGTTGGTGCTGTCATGGTGAGCAGGAGATGCTGATCCTGGCCTGGCTGCTCCCGAAGTTGGTCCTTTAGCCTCAGCTCCCCCATCTCCCGTGGCTGGGAGATGCCTGTTTCTCAGTGAAACGGGCAAACGGGCACTTTTCACCCCAAACGCGGCTCCACAGCCTACCTGCCATGCCAAGACTGGCCCATCCTCACGCTTTCCCCCGTTTCTCTCAGTCTCCAGAGCAACTCCATCAGCAGCGCTGGGGTCACCGCCCTGACAGCGGCTCTCTGCTCCAACAAGGGGCTCATCAACCTCAAGTAAGTGACAGTCCCTCCGGCCACCCTGGCCAAAAGCTGGTGCCAGGACACGGGACGCGAGAACTTCTTCCTTGCTCCTGGTTGTTTCCACAAGCGCTCTGGGATGCTGAAAGCAGCCTCTGTCCCTCCTCTGGCTGCGAGCGCCTTCTCTCCATCGTTAGCTTTCTCCCTTCAGGACAGGATCGGTTCAGCCTTGTCTGGCAATGAAACGAGGGCAGCAGGGATGGGAGGCTGGGAAAGAGCCCCGATGGCATCGGTGCTCACAGCTGTAGGATGCACAGGGAATGGAGATGCAGATGCTGACGGGGATGCGAGTCATGACAGATTGCCCTGTTGTGATAGGTGGTCTCAGCCCCCGAGCGAGGGATCTGTGAGGGAGCAGCCGGTGCCCTGCCTCGGCTGCTCCTCCCCAGCCCCGTGTCTTTCCCCAGCCTGAGGGAGAACTCCATCAGCAAGGAGGGAGGCCCCGCCATCGCCCGTGCCCTGCGGACCAACAGCACCCTCAGGAAGCTGGAGTAAGTCCCGTGGGCCCAGGAGGGCACCCGCGCTGCTGCGCGGTGTCGCTGGAGTTGTCCCAAACTCTGTGTGTACCACTTGCGTCCTCTGCTCCTTCCCTCTAGCTTAGCGGCCAACCTGCTGTACGACGAGGGCGGCAAGGCCATCGCTTTGGCCATGAAAGAGAACCGGGCGCTCACGTCCCTCCAGTGAGTTTCCCCTTGGACCTGGATGGTGGTTTTGAAGCCCCTTGTGTGGACGTGGGGCGGGGACACTGCCCCCGGGCCTCCGCCCATCCAGGCTCTGAGAACGGGTCACCCTTCCACCAGACGCGTGCTGTGCCATCCCAGATGGACCCACGGGCGTCTTGCACATGGGTCACCTGCCAGCCTCCACCACGCTGGATGGGAGCGGATGGGCGCTGAGCCCGGAGGGATCGGGGCATCCTGGCAGCCCCGGGCTTCACCTCCATTTCTCTCCCGTTTGCAGCTTGCAGTGGAACTTCATCCAAGCAAAAGCTGCTGCTGCCCTAGCACAAGCACTACGGTCCAACGGCAGCCTGGCCAGCCTTGAGTAAGTGGGGGGCACGGGCGGGCACGTCCCAGGCAGGACCTTCCTACTGGAACCTGCCCCAGGACTCTGCCCTCACGCTGCTCCAGGGGAGCTAGCTTTGCCTGCTGCCTCCTGCCCGTCCTGCATCCCCTTCACACGTCCCTGCCTAGGGATGCCGTAAGCACGTGGTGGCCCAGGGATGCCCTAAAGCCATTTGGGAAAGCCCGGCACACTGTGCCCTCTGCCCGTCTCCCTGCTGCCAGGTGCCTGGGCCGTGGCAGAGGCAGCACTTGCATCTCTCAGCTTGCAGGAGAACGCCATCGGAGATGAGGGAACAGCCGCCCTCTCCGCCGCACTGAAGGTCAACACAACCCTAGCAGACCTCCAGTGAGTATCCAGGCTGCAGGGTGACCTTGGCACCACAGCCTGTCTAATTAGCTTGTCTAATCAGCACACCACGGCCACCTCACGACATGCACGGGTCTTTGCTCTCTCGCAGCCTGCAGGTAGCTTCAGTTGGTGCAGTTGGTGCCCAAGCCCTGGCAGAAGCCTTGATGGTCAACAAGAGCCTGCAGATCCTGGAGTAAGTGCTTGGTGGGGCCACCAAATCTCCCTGGCTGTGACGCTGCTCCCTGGAGGTGTCCTAGACCCTCGTCCTTAGCTCAGCACTGCTTCCACCCTTGTATCGTGTCCCACCAGACTTGGCTTGCCTGTCCTTTGACTTGCTGGCATGGGGTCACCTGTCCCACCTCCTCCTCTCACCCACGGAGAGTGTGGGGCTGTCCTGGGCTGTCCTTCCTCACTGCCTGCCTTCCTCTGCAGCTTGCGGGGAAACTCCATCGGCGTGGCAGGGGCCAAGGCGATGGCCAACGCACTGAAGGTGAACCGCAGCCTCCGCCGGCTCAAGTAAGTACCCTGCTCCCCAGGATGAGAGCCAGAAAGAGCAATTCCAGACCTTCCTGGAGGAAGCAGCAAGGGGGAGGGCCAGGCCACCAACTCTCAGCAGGGAAAACTCCTGAGCTAGTGGCTCTTCCCAATGCCCACACCCATGGCATGAATTCTCTCCTGGTGGCCACCTCTCCCTGGCTGGTTCTTTCTGACCCACCTCCCGCAGCCTGCAGGAAAACTCCCTGGGCATGGACGGAGCCATCTGCATCGCCACTGCGCTGAAGGGCAACCACGGCCTCACCTACGTGAAGTAAGTGGCTGCTGAGCTGGACAGTAAGGCAGGGACAGGGGAGACCACAGGAGCCGTCAAGGGACCTTCCCCACCAGGGGCACTGCCCACTCCCAGCTGCCCTAGAGGGAGCTCCCCAATGGGGCAGGGGCAAGAGTGCCCTGTGCTCCTCCCAGCATGACAGCCACCATCCCCACACAGCTCCAGACCCCACAGCTCCTCTCTGGGGATGCCTCTGGGGTGAAGAACCCCCCCAAAAGCCAAATACTCTCCAAAGTATCACAGGGATGGGCTGGCTCAGCCCCTCCAGCTCCCCAGGGGCTTTCTCTAGCTTCCCACCTGGCTGCCTCTGGGCTCTCAAAGCCAGAGTCCCTGTGACTGGGGACCCAGCAAGAGCTCCTGGGTGGTGTGGGAGGGTGCAGGTGACGCCGGTGCAAAGCTGGGGAGCATGTCTCATACCCACCAAGGATCCTGCTCTGCCTCTTGTCCAAGCCTGATCCCTTTGCTCCCAGCCTGCAGGGGAACTGCATCGGCCAGTCGGGAGCCAAGATGATCTCAGACGCTATCCGGACAAACTCACCCAACTGCGTCGTGGACATCTGAGGGTGCCTGGCCACAGCGAGGAGGTGGCCCAGTGGGTCTCTTTGGCCAGCATGCCTCTGCAGGGAGCTGCTCAGCCCTTCGCCCGCCCACCTCAGGGAGGAGAGCTGGGGCAAGGCAAGCTCCTGACCTCCCCGGCACAGCGCAGGAGGACCTGGGGCCTCTGGATCAGCAGTGCAGGAGGGTCAAGACTCACCAGTGCTGAAAGCTGGGGGATGTGGGACCATGTTCCTGTTCATCCGTGCCCTGGGGGAGCTTCGAGGAATGAGTGAAATGCAAAAAGGAGGGAGGAGGGGGCAGATTCCACACACCAGCGCTTCTTATTTTCGTAGGTGACAGCTGCCACTTGTGGCGACAGCGACCTGCTCCTGTGATCTCCATGGGGTTACAGCGCTGTGCTGAGAGCCAGCCCGAGACCGGGCGCATCCTGACTGCCCCGGAGCTCTGCGCTTGTCCCAGCCTGAGTTACTGCGGGCAAACGTTGCAGCACCCCAGCCGGGGGTCCAGCACTCTCCTCCCAGCACCAGCTCTTCTCCCTCCAGTTCTGGCAGGGATCCCAGGAGAAGTGGGACAGGCCACCTCCAGCACACGTGTCTGCACCGGGACTGCCTTATCATGAAGTTCTGCTTCTCAAGTGCAGGCTGGACTTCCTGGGTCTCCTGCTGTTGTCATCGGTGACAAGCTGTGTGACCTTGGGATGGGTCTTCTCGACATCCCAGCTGCAGGCAGGGTGCTACCCTAGCAGGCCACCTTTTGGGCAGGCGGCTGCTGAAAGCAGAGGTGCCAGGTGATGCCCTCGTGCGTACGACAGAGACCCAGTGACTCTCCAGAAGGTGCCAGGTTTGCAGGTGGACCAGTAGCCAAACTATGCAACCCCACCCCCCTCCAGCCACTGTCCCCTCTCCTCACTCCACCCCAGCCAGAGCCCACCCTGAGACATGCTGCTGCTGCAGTCAGGGCAGCGAGCGACTGCTTCAGGGACCTCTGTGGGCTGATCCTGGAGAAACGCGGGGCTGAGCTGTGCGATAGGTACCTACTTGGAAATAAATTGGTTCCTAGCTGAGAAGATGCCTTGTGCTGCCTTCCTCTCTTGGCTGTGCATCATTAGATGCAGCATTCGGGGTGTGCCGTGCTCCGCTGCCCCGGCTGCAGACCCCACACCCTGCACTGGCAGGACAAGAGGTCTCATGGCTTTTCCATGAGGTGTCAGGGGCTGGCGCATGCTCTCCAACAGGATACAGTGACGCTGAGTGATTTAAATCCTACCTCTTTCACTGTTCTTTCAGGGCAGATTGAGGCTCAGGTCCACATCTGTCCAAAGCCTGTGCCTAACCCTGAGCTGAAACGTTACCTGAAACACCAACGGAGAGAGCGATCAACAACACCGAGCCATCTCCTGTGCCCTGGAGCTCCAGGGAACCAAGGGTTAACAACAATTTTAAATACATTTAATCGATCTGTACGCAGACATGCATACCTGGCTATACAAACACACTGCCGAGCTGAAAGCCTCCAGTGCTCAGTGGGTGCATTTCCACCAGCACAGCGCTGCTGGTGGTGCCCGATAGAAGAAGCTTGCAACGCAAAGCACGGCTACCCTAAAACCTGGCCGCTCACGCTGAAAGGCTAGGCAGCACTAGCGGCTCTGGTTCTGGGCACGCAAGGTATTAAGTCAGTTTTCCATTTCAGCCTACAATATAGGAAATAACACAGAAAACTGGAACTCCGAAACTGCAGCCCAGACTTGGAGAATGGGCCCAATCTCATGGGAAATCTCTCTCATGGGTCAGATATATCTCAGCACACAGGTAGGACCAGAACAGATTCCCTGCATAACATGGAAAAATGTTTTCAGAACAGGTCCTAAAATCAGGACGTTCTCATCCCCTGGGAGAAGGATGTGGCGAGCACGTGCACTTTCTGTCTGTCACAGGACCACCTTAATGGTTTTGCAGCTGCTGTCTAGCACCAAGAACACTGTTTTCTGTGTCTGCTTCCTTTGAAGTGAGGTGCAAACTGCCAATTAACTTTATAGTGTGCAAAGAGTCCTAACCCTCAGCCAGTTCAGCTCAAGCCTGTACGATTGGGTGCATTTCAGCACATCACTGCACCCACGTATGTCCCGTTACCACACAAAAACTGCGCTGTATTTACCTGCAAAATTTTGTCCCACCTTGACGTGGCATTTCAAGCTCTGAACTCTGCCGATGGGGAACTGCCTCGGGTTCCACCCTCGGGGCCAGAGACACGGAGAGATGAAAAAGCTCTTGGTTTTTCAAGTAACTCGCGTGTATCCCTTCCTTCAGCACAATAACGGAGGGGTTGGTCCCGGCTCTAGACTTCAGATAGGGGGGAAAGCAAAGTGCTTTGCTGATGTAAAAAAAGGGAAGGGCTGGAAAACAGCCTGGGCTCTCATCTGCCCTGATGAACACACACTAAAATGAACTCTTCTAATCAAGCACTGAGTTCTGCTCCTGTGAAGACAAACTGTGACACTAAAGCAGAGCTAAAAGCAAAGAGGCAACACACCAGATAAACCCCAGCTTCTGCGTTCACCTGAATACACTTTCACTGGCGGCATCAGTGTATCTTGCTGAACAAAAGCCCAACTTTTGGCCCATTTGAGTGCCTTAATCTCAGCCCACCCCAGAAGTACCAGTATAATTCAAGGGCTAATTTCATACGGAATTAGTTACAGTGCTGTCTCACACGGCTGCTCTCAGAACACTCAAGCACAGCCCACTGAAGTTTGAGAACAATTCCCACTGACACAGCTGAAATACTAAGCTATGCTGCACTGAAGGTGGTACTTGAGGATCCCTTCACTGGTTTCCTGCTCTTTTAGTGCCAACTGGTGCTGCTCTTTGTGGATGCAAGCCCTTGATAAGTAAAGAATCTGGTTAGGATAAACAGATTTAAGCCAGATTTAAAAATCAATTTAAGTGTGTTCCCAGAGCAGCTTTTCATCCAGTTTTACTAAGCCAAAAAAAAAAAAAAAAAAAAAAAAAGATCTGTTTGGACATAATAAAATGCAGGGAAATCAAGCACACGATGCTCACTGGAGTGCCGCTTTTGGCACTGCAGTGCATGAGGGCCAGTTCTAACGCAATTATGGAAATAACTGCACCCCACATTACTGTGATTCTCATTACGGATAAACTGCTCATGCTTTGAGAGTCACAAGACTGGCAATCCAAGTTTAATTTTCAAGTTTAATGAACATTATTTACCGACTCTTGAATTCATGATGACAAGCGCTTTTCAAATGGCAGGATTTTATCTCCTGGCCTGCATGCTCTCCAAAGTTTGTATTTCCAGATGCCTCCTGGTTCTGCTACTAACAGGTCAGAAGTCATTATCACTTTCCTCTAGTGGCTCTGGCTTCCTTGCTCGGTGACTGGATTTGCTCGGGGAGATTTCCATGCTGTCATCTTCCATATCATCCTCCTCCTCATCTTCATCTTCATCCAGGTCAATCTCACTATCCCCCGAATCCTCCTGCAGGAAAGCAAACAGCATTCCTGACCAGCTGAACTGACCAGCTCAGTTCTCAGATGGCAAGGCATCTTTGCCAGCTGAAAAGTGAAGGGTGGCACTGCTGGCTGACCTTAAGTCGCTTCCTCCCCTGCTCTCAGTGCAACCACCCACCCAGGGGCTCTGGGGAGGGCTGTTTGTCTGGACTGGTACGGATCCAGATTTGGACTTGCTCCGGGAGCAGCAGCAGATTCTCCACGAGGTTTTGTACCAGCTCAGGCTGCTGTGCTGCTGGCCTTCCAAAATAACAAAATGCCAGAGCTGCTCCATGCAATTTATTGCAAACCTCCTTCTCCATCGGGCTGACAAAAATGAACTCCCTGACTTCTGCTGAATCTGTGGTACTAAAAACCTTGCAGGGTGTTTAACTTTAAAGTGATACCTTTTGCAAGACCAAAAAAAAAAACCAACAATGAACTGCAGGAGAGAAACCCACCTGTGCCTCGGTGATGACCTTGCCCATGCCTGGCCGTGCTGGGGCAGATCTCCCCTTGGAGAACCAGAGTGGAAAGAACAGGAGAGGCAGAGCAGGAAGGAAAAAAATTAAAAAAAAAAAAGTACAAGAACATAAAAGAAAACAGAACATAACAAGAATGGGAGCAGGTGACAAGGCAGCAAAGGCAGGTACAGCTCAGACATCATGTGCCCCACCAGCGAGTGACAGAGGCCGGGCACACAGCTGCTGGCTCTTGGGCAGGCTGAAGCCTGCTCTCTTCTCACCTCTATAACCTGATTAATTCTTTGAGGGGTTCAAACCAGCCTCACTAGTTTCCTTCCCCGATCTCAGACCCATAGGTGCCTGCAAGGGTCTCTAAGCAAGCCTCCAGCCCTGGTGCCTGCTGAGATGCCGTATTAAGAGGGCAGAGCCACGAGACGACTGAAGTGGCTGCAGTTGTGGGCAATAAGAGGCCGAAGGCCTTGGCTTTCCACACCTAGATATGCTGGGGCTGTGCCAACAGGGAGACACGGGAGAAAGCTGTGAACAGCAAAGGCCAAAGGGAAGAGAAATTGCAGAGGATGACTATCCAAATCTGGCAAGAACATGGTAAAGGACAATCCGGCAGCACCATGACCACGGTCACAATGCCTTCACCTATAGCACTGCCACTCCTGCCCCTACCCAGAAATGGGTCTGAATGCCAAGGGCATAAATCATTCCCCAGATGGCAAGAAACAGCCTTAACCACATCCAGTCTGGCAGAAGCAAACAGCAGAGCATGGTCTGCAAGTTCCTTTCCAGAGAAAAGGTGAGGATGGGCAGCTCGTCCCGCTCCAGCAAGAGCTCCCTTATGCTATATATATCCTATATTACTATACTGCCTCCAGGTCTCTGCAATGAACACTTAATAACAGTGGTATTTTCTCTCTTCTGGCCCTGCCTGCTGGAGAAATAGTCTGCCCAGAGCTTTGCATGGCTAACCTAGCAGTGTCACACAGCCATGGCAAATGGCTTTTGCATGTGGGGGTGA